GGGGGGGGGGGAGTCCGAAAATCGTTCTCAAGGGTTTTAACAGTAAACCCTATTTATTTTTTAATCATTAACTATTAGTACATAATATCATATTTGGAGTGCTGGGCTTAAATATGTAGTTTCATCATGTCAGACTATTTTCTGAGTTCAGAAAAGTCCAAAAATGACCGTTTCTAGTTTTGGGGAGGATGGAGGATATGTTTATTCTCCGGACAACCTGGACTTGGCAGGTACGTAAATTTATGGGGGGTATTTTTATTTTGGTATTTCAAGCGCTTCGTCGTATCCTTGTCTCGCGTCGTAAATTTACACTTTATTTTTATATCTAATTCGTACCAAGCAGGACTCTATACGTGTTGAATATTCACATTAATGAATGGAATCACGTTGTTTTTTTTTCTTCTGAACCAGAAATTCATGTTTTGGAATATAGGCCACTAATACGAGACGTTCGAGCAGATATGTTTATTTTCGCTAAGGGTATTTCGAACCTTTGAGAAACAGGTAGAAAATTAGGAAATTGTATTCAGAGGGTTATCTAGAGTCTCGTAAAGCTTTAGAAAATTCGTGTCACATGAATTGTACTAAATTAATATATGTGGATTAACGTCCAGTAGGACTGGAGACCTTTTGAACAAATATTTTTAAAATTGAACTATCATTTTTATTTTATTTTAAAAATTACCTTCTATATGTACTCATATGTTCTAATGGACTAAAAACCGGTTTGTAAACAGCTGACTTCAGTGCATTTAATTGAACGTTAGTTCTAACGTGTATTGGTCCAATCGATATAGCATCAGCAAATTTATAATTGGTTGTTCGCATTTTCATTAAAAACAACGATCATGACAACATTATATTTTTAGCAAGACAGCTCGAGAAATTTGTTTGCTCAGATTCTAGTTCAGGATCTCTTGCAGAGAAACTCACAGGTATTTATGAACCCATTAATACTACAGAATTCTCACTAAGTGGTTTATATATTATTTATATAAAGCAGATATATTATATATATAAAGCAGATATATTATATATATAAAGCAGATATATTATATATATATAAAGCAGATATATTATATATATATANCTCCCCCCGCCCCCCTCTTGGGTGTCATATTTGATAATACTCTCTGAACCAGGCCCTGAAGCACTTGCATTAAAACAGTTTACCAGGTTTGCCAGTAAAATATATTTTATTGCCTTGAAATATGATTTTGATATTTTACTATTTAGATAAATTTTACAGATATGTAATTGATTGTACATGAAATATGATCTACATGTACATGGTACATGGTTCATGAACTATTGTTTGTAGGGTAAAACGTGTTCCCCTTCCTGCAGAGCTAGTAGAACATTTTGGTCACATGCAGTGCAACTGTAATATGGGACTCTTCCCACAGGTTGGTTAATTTATGTAGTTTGGGATCCATTCATCGATTCATTGACTAGTTTGAAGAAAAATTGTTAATTGATCAGCTGATTGGCTGATTTTGTAGGAGATTTGTCGATTGATCAGTTGATTAACTGATTTTGTAGGAGATTTGTCGACTGATCAGTTGATTAACTGATTTTATAGGAGATTTTTGATTGATCAGCTGATTAGCTGATTTTTGTAGAAGATTTGTTGTTTGATTAGCTGATTAGTTGATTTTGTAGAAGATTTGTTGATTGATTTATTGATTCCTTCATTGTATTTATTTAATTACCTAGATCGATAGAAATGTAGTTGATTTATTTAATTTTCTTACTCCCGGTTGACCGGGTTTAGTTGGGCTTGGTTTACAATAGCTAGATAGATTACATATAATTTTTTTAATTGATCTGCTGGTTAACGTGGAGAATTGTGGATGTCATTAAATGGAGTTTTTGTTAGATTTATTGATTGATTTACCATTGAATGTTGTTGTTTAGATAGAAAATAAGAATATTCCCTTAATCCTTGATCCGACAGATGTTCTAGGGTTTGATGTTTCGGACATCCTATTAAATTACGTATACTATACAGTGCGTTTACGTATACTATACAGTGCGTTTAAAAATCCAAAATATAATTTCCGTTTCTCCAGGTTGGTCGAGCTTGGTTAACTATAGATAGCGACATCTACCTGTGGAGGTTCCAGGATGGTGGGGATCTAGCATTCTTCGATGGACTCGGAGAAACTATCCTCAACGTGTGTCTGGTTACTCCCAAACCAGGGATTCTTCAGTCACATGTCAAGGTTATTAGGATTTTTAAAAATTGAACGTTTTGCATCAACAAAAACATCATCTTGAAGGAAAATTTGTATGTTTAAGGATAAATTCTTAAATTATAAACCCTCCTGCTCCGGACAGTGCTTAGGGTCTATTTAATTTTCATGCGTATCCGAATCCTGGATCCGCACTGGAAAAAAAATAGAGCCGGATTTGGTTCCAGTTCATGAACATTTCTTTAAGATTTACCGCATTTTTTTTAACAAAGAAGAATATTAAAAAAAAATTCTTATTTTTTTCTTGTTTATTTTTTTGTTAAAAATTGGTGAGCAATTCAGAAATCAGGAATTTTTTATAATCTCTCTTTTTTAACAGTTCGGATTTTGGGGTTTTGAATAAAACTTTTTTTGTTGCAGTTTTTGGTTGATATTTTGCCTCAGATTTCCGGATCCAGAAAGCCAAAATCTTTCGGATCCAACGGATCCGGATCCTAACTATTGGTTCCGGGGATGCGATCCAAAAAATAAATATTCTTAGTATTAGCCCAGTTTTGCAGATTATATTTAAAATCCCAAATTTTTATTTTAATATTCAGTACCTGCTGTGCCTTGCCACCCCTGTAGAGATAGTTCTCTTAGGAGTCAGCTTCACCACACCACAAGGAGGTCCGATTTTATATATTAAACAATGGAGAGATACCATTAACATATCATATATATCAGTTTTTAAATTAAATCACGTATTGCAAGAAAGCTTTAGGAAAAAGTATCAAAAAGCTCGAAAATTTAAGTAACATTTTTATATTTCCCGATTAGCTCCTAAAGAAATAATTAAAATATATATTTTGTTTGTTTTCCAATCTATTTATGATTTATTTCTAGGGCCTAGTGAGGAGTTACATCTACTACCTGAACCTCTGTTCAGTTTACCATGTGAGCAGCTGGTTACTACAGCTCTTCAAGGAACAGACAATGGCAGGTGGGGAACATTTAGTCGACAAACCCTTTATATGTTATACCCTGACACAAAACCTGATCCTGATCCTGATCCTGATCCTGATCCTGATCCTGATCCTGATCCTAATTTCGATCCTGATCCTATATACTGATCCTTAAACCGTTCTTGACACCTGATTCCTGTCTAATGTCTGATATTCCAGGATATTTATGGGTGGTAAGGACGGGAGTTTGTATGAGTTTGCATATCAGTCCCAGGAAGGATGGTTTGGGAAGAAAACTAGGAAACTTAATCACTCCAGTGGAGCACTCAGGTTAGAACACTTGATTGATCGATTGATTGATTGTTTGTTGTTGATTAATTGATAGGTTGGTTGGTTGAAAATATTAAAAAAAAAATGAAAAGATATGGAAGCAATCGATTTCATCAAGTTCTGCTGTTTCATGACTAGATTGGTTAATTAGTTGGTTGTTGATTCATTGATTCATTCGTTGGTTGGTTGGTTGGTTGGTTGGTTAGTTGGTTGGTTGGTTTGATTGATTGATTGATTGATTGATTGATTGATTGACTGATTGTTTTAATTTTAGTTGGATATTGCCTTCAATACTTGGTTTGGCGGAGGAGGATCCAATTCTACAAATTGAGGGAAATATCATCAACAAATATCTTCCATTTGTCAGTAAATATCCTCCATTTATCAACAAATATCCTTCATTAACAACAAATATCCTTCATTATCAACAAATATTCTTCATTATCAACAAATATCCTTCATTATCAACAAATATCCTTCATTATCAACAAATATCCTCCATTTTTCAACAAGTATTCTCCTTTTGTCAACATATATCTTTTATTTGTTAACAAATTGTCTCCATTTATAAACAAATATCCTCCAATTATCAACAAATATCCTCCATTTTTCAACAAGTATTCTCCATTTATCTTTTTTAACACATTTTCTCCATTTGTCAACAGATATTCTCCATTTTCAACAATTATCCTCCATTTGTCGACAAATATCCTCCATTATATAAAAGATAAGAATATAAGTTTGAATGATAATGAGTTCAGATTGATAACTCCAGAAATATTCTCTACACAAGAACAGAGAAGGGAACCGTTACGGTAATTTTCAAATTTCTATTAAAACAATTTTAACGTTTATATGTAGTTTTATATGTAGTTTTATATGTAGTTTTATATGTAGTTTTATATGTAGTTTTATATGTAGTTTTATATGTAGTTTTATATGTAGTTTTATATGTAGTTTTATATGTAGTTTTATATGTAGTTTTATATATAGTTTTATATATAGTTTTATATTTAGTTTTATATGTAGTTTTATATGCAGTTTTATATGCAGTTTTATGTGTAGTTACATATGTAGTTTAATATTTAGTTTTATATGTAGTTTTATATGTAGTTTAATATGTAGTTTAATATGTAGTTTTATATGTAGTTTTATATGTAGTTTTATATGTAGTTTTATATGTAGTTTTATATGTAGTTTTATATGTAGTTTTATATGTAATTTTACCGACGACTATTTTTTCTTCATTAACTGTTTTATGTCCCTGTATTTTTGGGGAAATTTTCAAATTAAAAATATCCAAATTTCAAATAATTATGATAACAAATTTAAGTTGTACTTATCAACAATTTACACTTGTCTCGTATGTTTAATGACAAACTATTGTTATTTTCATGCTCGGTTGCAGTACATATATTCAGGACTGTCATTTAAATATTTTTTTTCGAGTTTAAAACAGCACTTTACAATATTTGTCTGAAATTGTAAGAATAACCAATATATATTTTCATTTTATTTTTTCCCCTTTATCCATTTATTTTGAGGATAAAGCAATAAAAATCAAATGTTTTATTCAGTAATTTTCTGTTCCCAGGTGTATGACCTTGGTCCGTCAGGTCAAGGATTGGAGAAGGTTGCCAGCGTGTCTGCTCAGAGATTACTGGAGGAATCCAGTAGATTAGCTGCTACAGTAGAGACTAATAATCTCAGGTATATTCTAGTAGATTAGCTGCTATAGTAAAGACTAATAATCTCAGGTATATTCTAGTAGATTAGCTGCTAACAGTAGAGACTAATAATCTCAGGTATGTTCCAGTAGATTAGCTGCTATAGTAGAGACTAATAATCTCAGGTATATTCTAGTAGATTAGCTGCTACAGTAGAGACTAATAATCTCAGGTATATTCTAATAGATTAGCTGCTACAGTAGAGACTAATAATATCAGGTATATTCTAGTAGATTAGCTGCTACAGTAGAGACTTGTAATATCAGGTATATTTAACAGAATAGCTGCTACAGTAGAGACTAATAATCTCAGGTATATTCTAGTAGATTAGCTGCTACAGTAGATACTAATAATCTCAGGTATGTTCCAGTAGATAAGCTGCTATAGTAGAGACTAATAATATCAGGTATATTCCAGTAGATTAGCTGCTACAGTAGAGACTAATAATCTCAGGTATATTCTAGTAGATTAGCTGCTACAGTAGAGACTAATAATCTCAGGTATATTCTAATAGATTAGCTGCTACAGTAGAGACTAATAATATCAGGTATATTCCAGTAGATTAGCTGCTACAGTAGAGACTAATAATCTCAGGTATATTTTAACAGAATAGCTGCTACCTACAGTAGAGACTAATAATCTCAGGTAATAGCTTTTATAGCTCCCATCTTTTGTACATTTGAAATATAAACGATGAAAAGTTCACAGATTTTCCTGTCTTTATTGGCGGATTTTCAAAATAAAACAAAATGATTTGCAGAATTTAACTTATGACCGGTCACAAAACTTCCCCGGGATCGTACCACAAAATATTTAGTCCGGGTTGGTTTAGCTGTCTTGACTTTGGTTTTCAAATGTTTTTTATTTTATGTTTTTAACATGGAACTTTTTGCAATTTCTTTTAGCTGAAAAACAAAATATATTCGATATTCAATGTCCCTAGCTTAATTTTTTTATGAGAAATATTTTCTCTTCTAAATATTAAAAAAAAACATTCTCTTGACCCCTTTCTTCTATCTTTACACATTGCTTGCCTGTTTGTCTGTCTGTTTGTATCCATTAAACGTCAAAACGGCTGAACCGATCAAGCCCAATTTTTTTTGTGGGACCACAGGGAAGGTTTACGGATGATTTCTTAAAGGGGATGGTGGAGATGTACTATTTGATGACCTTTAATGACCTCTAATGACCTTTATTGCCCTTTTATGATCTTTAATGACCTCGACAAATATAAAAGGTTCCAACTATGGCTCTATTTAAATCAAATGAATGCTAGGAACCCAGACAAAACCTTTGTTTGTTACTATAATTACAACACTAGTAGGATATTTATCAAATAATATGTTTTATTGATTAAAGCAATCAAAATAGATCAATTATGATCAACCAAGCATACCCATNACAACTATAATAACCAATGACGTCAAAATACAACTGTGTCCACAACGAGATTAAACAAATTTTCGAAAAAATTAGATATTTACGATCTCAATTAATTCTTGTTTATTCTCCAGGAAACAGTTTGATGGAGAGCCATAGCATAGTTCCTGTTGAAGGACACACCTGGGCTATTCATGAAGTATCCGAGCAGTCACAGCTGGTCAATCTATACAGGTTCAAATATATACTTTATCAGAGCAGTCACAGCTAGTCAATCTATACAGGTTCAAATATATACTTTATCAGAGCAGTCACAAAATAGGACAGCTCCACCATTCCCTTCGCCTCTAAAAAAAATTGATTTTGAAAATCACTGACATTTTTTTAGAAATTCGCGAAATTTTGTTTTATAATGTATACGGAGAGAAAATGTTCACAATTGGAAATGAAGATGGGCACACAGCACCCTAAAATTTAGTCATTTCTCTATATTTCTTAGTTAAAATAATATATTATTAATTAAGGCCTATCATCTATATTGCCCCTGTTTCCTCTACTGAAGATGATAATATTCATCTCCTGGCAATCACAGGTAAATTCAACTAGATTTTCTATGTTTAAACCCATTTTTATTGAAATATTAACTATTATAACATTATAACATTATAATAAAAGATTGTGATATGTTCTAAGATTTAAAATTATGAGATCTGAGCTGAGTTGGGAACTTTAGAATAGTGGATATCGATATCTTTTTTTAATCTTGAGACTAACTTAATCTTGTACCTGTGTAATAAATATTGGATAAACATGATATCTTGGTAAACCTGATGTACGTTGTACACTATTAACTATCTACGTTTATAAACTTTTACGTAAAACCAAAATCAATCAAATGAATACGTAACATATTAAGCCCAAATCATGTGAATTATAACGACCTACATCTTAATTGCGCCTATTTAAACTGTGCTGTAATACGTAACATTTTTGTCTTACTTATGTGATGAACGACGTAGGAATTGTAATTACATCATTAACTTTAACTTTTAACGTAACATATAAATCCCAAATAAATCAGTTGATAAAAAACTCCGCTTTGATTACAGGTAGAGTAATTTGGTTTCGTTGAAACATACGAATAAGATATCGTTGCCTTGAGAATTGGCTTGATCGACTGACTTGCTAGTGTCTGTGTGGACATCCTAAGCTAATGAGATCGCGCCCAGTAGTACTGGCGTTGATAGTTTACAGGTTTGCAGCTGTGTGGATCGTGTTCTGTTTGAGAGACATTGATCAATTACTTGCTAGCGTCCGTATTTACACCAATAGCTAATGAGATTGCACTCAGTAGTACTGGCGTTGATAGTTCACGGGTTTGCAGCCGTTTGGATTGTGTCCTGTTTGAGACATTGATCTATTACTTGCTAGCGTCCGTATTTACACCAATAGCTAATGAGATCGCACTCAGTAGTACTGGCGTTGATAATTCACGGGTTTGCAGCCGTTTGGATTGTGTCCTGTTTGAGACATTGATCTATTACTTGCTACTGTCAGTATTGACACTGATAGCTTACAAGAGGCGTATTCAGGGCCCATCTATTGATTTCAGGGGGTATTCAGGCCCCAACGGGTGCTGAGCCCCCCCCCCCTGGAAAGAGAAAAAAAATTTAGCTCCCTCCTGAAGATCGCACCCAGTAGTACTGGCGTTGATAGTTCATGGGATTGCAGCTGTGTGTTGACATTGATTGTATCCTGTAAAGTGTTTAAAATTCAACCAATCAGAGTCGCGCATCAGAAACGGGAGGGACTCTCTAATTTTGAAAAATCGGTTTTTGATTTTTCTGTTCTATATTTAAAAAAGAGTGGATTAAGCAAGAAATTAAAAGTGTCCACATTAGATATTCGGATTAAGCAGTTGGGATTAAAGGTATTCCATTTTAAAGTTCCAAGCTTTTGTAAGCTTTTTAGCAAGTTTGCTAGTTTTTGGCGTAATTCTTCTAATGTAAGTTTACTTAAAATTACTTTAAAAGAATCTATTGGTTACCAGGAGGAGGTTCCCGTCTATACCTATCTACCAGGAACCCTGGAGAAAACAATCCTGTATCTCGACCCTATACACTGAAGCTGGTTCATGTCCGCCTACCCCCAGGCTTTGCTCCCTCAGCTCCTCCACAGAAACCAACCAAGGTATTATTTAGTTCATGTAAACCATTGATTCCGTTTGATTTGTGAGAAGTCGTTGATCTACTTACCACCAGTTCAAATCCTGAATCATCGATTTAAGTTTAAAGATCTATGAGGATTTAGGTAATAGTTAATGAATTTAGAGAGTAACTCCGTTATTCAGGGTTTAACCGGCTGTAGATAGATCATTATATTTTTGATCCCGGGTCGCAAGTTGCATGTCTAATGTCTATGCGCTATACTCTGAGGGCGGTCTGGGGTTTAGTGTTAGATCTTTATATTATTATTAGTGGTATATTGAACCATAATGAAACTTGGAAACTGTAAACCCTACATTTTTAATATTATTTAGTATGAGTATTGTATACGTATAGGATACATCCTGTAAAAGATAAATATGAATTCAGCTTTTTCATATCGAAAGTGTTTCTAAGTTCTTTTTAAAGTAAAATATCCCCCCGCTAATTTTTATTCCGAAATTTGATTGAGAAATATGATGGAGTAGAGCCTATAGAGGGTAGACTGATCATTTTAAAAATTATTTTTCCCCTCTTTTATCCGATTTTGTATCTCGTGGAGGTAAAAATCTTATGTTATTTAAAGTACTCTGTATTTAGGTGCATAGTGGGTTTTACCTGTCTGGGTTGACCCTGCTGGCTTCTAGTCCTGTGGAAGCAGCTGATGTACTTTGGATGGTTTGGAACGGATGTTTACCACCAGGAGGTAAAATATATTATCTCATTCTCAGGAACAATACCAGTCACTCAATGATTCCACAAATGACGGGATGTTATGTTACTAAACTGTCCCTTGGGATAAGTTAGTAAAATAATATTGGCTAACATTTTGTAAAACAAATTCGCAAATTCTCATTTTAAATGATAATAAAATCATAAACAACCACTTTTTCGCAAAAGTTGATTTATCTCATATCTGGTAGATTTTTAAAAATTAATTCTTACACTATTGTGAAGCTTTTTTTACCAAATTATTTATCATTCCAAAGCTAAATTAAAAAAGTTTGAACTCTTGATGATTTTGATAGATTTTTTTGTTTGTAATGGGTGCTTTTCAGAGAAATATTCTTGTACTAAAAAATTAGATTAAAACTTTATTATTTTATCCTTCATTTCCAGACGGTGTTATCCAATTTTCAGTTCAATAACTTTTTTATGAGATTAAACAAATTTTCGAAAAAATTAGATATTTACGATCTCAATTAATTCTTGTTTATTCTCCAGGAAACAGTTTGATGGAGAGCCATAGCATAGTTCCTGTTGAAGGACACACCTGGGCTATTCATGAAGTATCCGAGCAGTCACAGCTGGTCAATCTATACAGGTTCAAATATATACTTTATCAGAGCAGTCACAGCTGGTCAATCTATACAGGTTCAAATATATACTTTATCAGAGCAGTCACAGCTGGTCAATCTATACAGGTTCAAATATATACTTTATTTTAATAACAAATCGTTAAATTTTAGTCAGAATAGCGAGAAGTAGCTGAACTGTTACTCGTATTGCTACTTTTCATTCATTTATTTTATTATTAATTTTTATTTAGTAGTTTAACAAAAAAAGTAAGTCAGTGCGTTGTATGAATTTCTGAATGAGAAATCTAAGTTGTTTTAATTGCCACGTCATGTTTAACTCTCTTTTGCCGCTGAGATCAAGAGATGTTGTTTCAATTTGATCTAGTTGGTACAAGAAGTTTAACTAGGCGTAGCTATTTTATCTACTTCTTTTTGTTCCACGAATCATAAGCTTCCGCTGATAATTAAATAAACAGCTTTTCAACGTGAGGTCCGACTGTCTCAATACAAAAAGTTTAAAAATATGACAAATGAAAATATTAAGATAATAATGGAATTGATATTGTAAAATCTAATATATTTGTTTATGAAGGAGTTCCTTAAACGGTCGTGATCCGCCCTCCGCCATTATTCAGCACTGTTCTCCGCCCAGGCAGATAGTTGTTCTCTCCGCCCAGGTTAGTAAACAACTGCCTCGCAAGCTACATAATATGAAAATTGATGTTATGCTTTTTCTCAAGTGGAAACTTCCCAATTTGTAAATTCCCAAATTGATACTTATGTTCTAGACGTAGTGCTCGGTCCCAGTACGTATTCTAGCCGTAGCCCAGAGTAAAATCAAATTCAAATATCTTTGTATTGAATGTGAAGTTTTATGTGTTTAGTCATTTGACTGAATTGTGTCTATTTGTCAGGGGGCTCTGATTATCAGTGCGCTTCGTCCTGTGGATTGTCTCAGGTAAAATAAGGGATTGACGAGAATTTAGGGATTCAAGGGATTGTAGACTAAATTTCAAGTGTTTCTCTAAGAGAAGAGTGGCATGTCTGGTTCACATCGGTAATATTATTGTACATTGAAACGTATTGGCTTCATTGCCTCTGCAGCGTAAAACCGCACGTCACTTATGGAGAAACCATAATTCCTAAATAATATAATTTTTACCCAGAAAACTGAGAATATCTCAATCATCCGGAAAAGGGTTGAAATATTGTCGTTGTGAATTTGACATAAATAGAGGATTACTTGAAAATACTATTTAGCTTGAAGATAATCTGCTGGATTCGGTTCTTCAAGTAAAATATACTGAATAATTTCAGGAGTTGATAAATCTGCCAAAATTTTCTCGAAATGTACTTTATCTTTTCTTCCAAGGCAATTGTTGATTGAATGCGGAGGCCCTGAATCTGAACCAGTGAAGATGTATTTCAGCCTCCAGGGACCTGATCAGGCAGTAGCTACAGCTCTTATACTAGCAACCTCATCAGCTATNTGTCGTCTTCTCTAATAATCCAGTACATTTGTATGCTGTTGACGTTTTAATAACGAAACTTTCTGTGTTAATTTTTTCTTCAATGGTTGATATTTTCCAAACAAAGTCCCCCATAAATCACGTGAAGAGTAAGATTAATACATTAAGCGATATTATTTCTTTGCCTAATATTAAACCGAAGACATTTACACAAAATTTATTTACCGTACAAATGAAATATTAGAAATTTATGGTCTCCTCGCTTTTTCATCGCCTAAAATCCCATTCCATAGAACCTTAGAAAAATATTTGACGACATCTGAAAATTTTCACCAACAATTATCGGCTATTTTTGATTCAAAAGAGATGCGTAATTTTATCACAATTTCAGCTATAATTCACCAGACGATCCTCATATCCAACAAATGATAAGATAAATTTTAAAAAACAAATTGATGTCATTAATTTTAGTTAACTTTTAGCACAACACATTCACAATTGCGTTAAATCTAAGGTTTTAATGTCGATCGCTAGACTCTTAAACAACTAAAATAACCAATGACGTCAAAATACAACTGTGTCCACAACAGTCAAATAAATGTGTAATGCCTCGTCTTTTTAATTTGCAAAGTCTTAGGACTATACTAGCAACCTTATCATCTATACTAGATAGATACGTAACTTCACCACTAATACAGGCCACTGCACAGAGGTATATGTTTTCCTAAAAATATTTATATTAGGAATGATTTAGGTTATTTTTCGATGACTAAATGATTTTTAGGTTTAAATAGTTTTTGTGTTTGTGTTAAAAGCATAAAAAAGTCCAATATTTTTTCCTTCCCTCCAAATCTTTGAAAATAATATCCTAAATATTTACCCATCACTAATATATATATTTTATATATATACACAGATTAAGCAATGTTTAGAAACTAATGAACAGAAAAGAGAATAAAAATATTATCTTATCAATATCCGTTGTCTAGGTATCTGAATGGTCAACAAGAGCTTTACTGTTGTACGGAGGAGAATCTAAACTAGTGTTCCCAGGGGGTCAGGGGCTCCAGGGACCCAATCCAGGGTTCCAGGGACAACAGGGGTTCCAGGGAGGGTATCAGAGTTCCCAGGGATACCAGCCTGGGTTCCAAAGTCCTCAAGGGTTCCAGGGGAACACCTTTTCAGGATATCAGTCTCAGTTCCAACCTAATATGACAAAGGTAGTTAAAACCAATTTTTTATAAATGACTAATTTTATCAGTAAAATTACAGATGTTTACAATAGTTAACATATCTCTTCGAAAATAACCGATCTATTTTAAAAAGTCGCGATAACTTGGAAATTAATCGAAAGTATTTGAAAATTTTGAAAGTGCATACAATTTCTCTTTTAATATGACATAACATCTTTAAAATTAACCATTTCATTCGCACAATGACAAATACATTTTTAAATTTAAGCAACATTGATTAAGTAATTTTTAGTTTGATAAAAATAAATGGCAATTAAAACTCGGTTTTGTTTTTAACAAAATCTTTTCATGAATTGAATAAAAAAATCATTTCATCACATTAACTAAATCAGAAAAACACTTTGAAAACAATCTAAGTAAACTATTTTGTAGGAGGTGTTCCAGGTGAATTCCCCTGGATATATATCATCTCCTCCTCAGGTAGAATATTATGTAGGAGGTGTTCCAGGTGAATTCCCCTGGATATATATCATCTCCTCCTCAGGTAGAATGTTTGTGACTGTAGACGCAATTTCAAGTGATCCTCCATTGATAGAGTGGCAAATCCTATTCACAACGGTACTACCCCTATCTGCTTAATAATGAGGCTGATATCGGTGGTTTTCTATCTGTAAAGGGGTTAAATATTGGTCATTTCCTTCATTGTCTCTGTAGCAGCATGAACGCACAAGTTACTTATTGAATTCAGTAAAATGAAAAGTAATGTATTAAACGATTATTATTTTTGTGCAGATTACATTTCATCCGCACATGATGTCAACTCCTGCCCCCGGGAGTCCTGGAGTTCAATCCTTCTCCGGGTCTGGTGTACAACCCTACTCCTCACCAGGACCCGGAGTACAGTCTTATCCTACACCTGGACCTGTAGCTCAGCCCTACTCTTCTCCTAGTTCTCAACCTTCATACTCTTACCAAGCTCAGGAAGAAAAATATTATTTTATATTTGACTGATAATCTACCATTTACTCGTCTACATAAAGGATCATCCACCAAGGATGAGACATTAATAACGAGTTAAAACTTTCCAGAAGGGTACATTTGGTCTTATGCCTTAAACATTGTCTTATAATGCTCTTATAACGGAAACATTTAACAAGACCAAATTAAATGAAAAACTGCAAGTATCCATGAATTAAAAAATAGGCTAAATAATATTCATTCGTCTCTGAAGTCCGGCTTTTTTAAAACCTACAAGTTCATTTATATTCGCTGAAATCTTAACTTAAACTAGAAAAAAGATATGGAGGGGGTGGGGTTTAGAAGAAAAACTCACTAAGGTGTTATATCAAAACAAGTTGAAGAAGTTTGGGCAATTTTGTAAGTGATCGCTAACCAAACCAGATCAGATATTGAACCTCCCATCCACTACTGGATTTAAATTTAAAAAATGGAAATAATTCTTTGAATTCCAGGGATTTCATCAACCTCAGGCTGAGATACAATTCTCATTCAGGTTTTATTCATTGTTCATTCTTTAATTTATGCATTCATCCTTTTTCTTTCTTTCATTCATCCTTTTATTCACCCTTTCATCCTTTCTTTCTTTCTTTCATCCTTTCATCCTTTCATCTTTTCTTTCTTACATTCATCCTTTCATCCGTTTTCTTTCTTTCATTCATCCTTTTATTCATCCTTTCATCCTTTCTTTCTTTCTTTCATCCTTTCATGTTTTCTTTCTTTCATTCATCCTTTTATTCATCCTTTCATCCTTTCTTTCTTTCATTCATCCTTTCATCCGTTTTCTTTCTTTCATTCATCCTTTCATTCTTTTTCTTTCTTTCATTCATCCTTTCACTCATCCTTTCATCCTTTCTTTCTTTCATTTATCCTTTTTTCCTTTCATCGTTTCTTTCATTCATCCTCTCATCCTTTTTCATTCTTTCAATCATCCTTTGATTCTTTCTTTCATTTTTTTTCTATTCATTTTATTCATTTTGACATTATAACTTTCAGTAATCTTTTCATTCAAATTTTATTTATCCTTTCATTCATCCTTTTATTTAATTTTTGTTCATTTGTTAATTATTTCCCTTATAGATTAATTGATTAATGAATTGATCTATCTATCTAATGTTTAGACACAATGGCCTGTATTTGTATGTATCTCGGCTTTTGCGTCCTGTCTGGTCTTCTCCCCTTCTTAAAGGTACAGTGGTCGTGAGAAAAAAATGGTCTATAACAGGAACTCTCATAAAATAAAATGAACATCAGTACGTAGTCTAGTCTAGTAACTCCTAGTTTTCATATATTGGTAGAACCGTGAGATCGGACTGAAAACCCTGAATATGTAAATTGTACAAAACTTGAAACTCAAATCCTCATTAAGGAGCCATCCCTGCAAAGTATGAGTTGATTTGATTATCATGATATTCAAAAGATTCCAGAAGATCAAAATAGATCTCAAAAGATACCTAGAAATATATTTGAGCTGAGAGTTCAGTATTATAGAGAAAAAAATTAGGATATGACTTTTTTACGGTGTATAATTGCTGAGTAAGAGTGCAAAATCGATCTTAATTTTCTCAGATTGTCTTATTTTTATTAATTATTTAACAACGACGACGAAAAATGTAACAAAAATTTCAGGAGTTTCCAAAAGACATCGCTAAAAAGATATTAACATTTCCCCCTGTGTCCAGGAGATGGTAATGAGTTGAAATCTCTGGTGTCGGGTACAGAACTTGAGTTCATTATCTCACATCTTCATAATATCAGGCAATACAGCATCATAAATAACCTCCCCCCCCCCATCCTTTGAATTAATCTAGGGGTTACGTACGTACTACGTATATACTAAATATTAACATATTTCTTTAAAAGTATCCCCCCTTTCTCTTTAAACAACTTTTTCCCCAGTATATAAACTCTTAAAGATGGGGGGGGGGGACAAATCCTTCCCAAATCTTATCTGATCTATCTAGCTATCTATGTATCTATTTTTGTATCTATCTAACTATCTATCTGTATCTATCTATCTATTTATTTATTTTATATATGTTTCTAGAAAGTTCCTGGATGAAAACACTAATCTGGTTTCCTCTGCTAGAGAGAGGAAGATTCAACAGGTTCAGGTATACTTTACAATACTTCTCCCGTTGCGCCAATCTTTAATCCCCGATATATGCTAATCCTAGAGGTTCACTTATTTAATATTTTTGGAAAGATTGGGAATCATTTTTTTTTCTTTAAAGGGAGTGTCTGGCTAGACATCGTAGTTAAGCTCAGAATGCAGCATTTTAGAGAAATTTTTTATTTTCATTTTTTTATTTCATTTTAGACTTATCAGACTTTTTTACTGTGCCTATTTGTTGAGTAAGAGTGCAAATTCAATCTTGTCCTCATTGATCGTCCATTTTGGAGGGATGATTTTAAAAAATCGGTTTTATAAAAATTGATTTAAAGTAAAATTAGATTAAATTGATTTAAAAGCTAGTCAAGTATATTTGACGAGGTTGCTAGCATAGTCTAATAGCTACCTGTAAAGCTGATGAGGTAGGTTTTTAGTATAATCATTAAAACAATTTTTAACAACGGATTCTCAAAATCATCCCTCTAAAATGGACAATTTATACGGATTTTAAAGATTGAATTTGCGGTCTAAATAAATATAAACCGTAAAAAGTCTTACTGCATTCTCAACTCAATTATCATGTCTAGTCAGACACTCCCTTTATGATTTTAAGGATGGCTGGGGTTAAGGTAATTCTAGAAAACAAATACTCTTACACCGTTACTTTCTCTACTCATCGCCTCCTAACCTGGTGATATTATTGTTTAGGGTAGTCAGGTTCAACAACGGGGACAACAGGATGCCCTGTTAAGAGAACAGCAGTCTATGCTTATGCTAAGAGAACTAGTTCTTCATAGTTTACAGGTAAACCGGATTTGACCGGCTTCAAATATGTTTTAAAGAGACTTGTTATTTTATCTGACCCTTTATTCAAAGATTCACAACGGTACCCTTTAAACATAATGATGAGAATATGATTTTCTAGCTTGAAAATTGTCTACGTCAATATTTTTTATATCAAGAACTTTTCGTGGCATTTTGATTTCAATTTGCGTAGAATTCCTATGCCT